TTTAGTTGTCCAGCTAATTTCTTTCTATTTTTTTAGTAGAGTCGGGGTCTCGCTCTTGCTCAGGCTGGTCTCAAGCTCCTGAGCTCAAACGATCCACCTGCCTTGGCCTCCCAGAGTGCTAGGATTACAGGCGTGAGCCACTGCGCCCGGCCTATAGCCAGTTTATTTTAAAAGAATACAAAATGTGAGCTGTTATTTGAAGGTGAGGTATGTGTTCATCAGTGAGTGAGGTGACAGTTTAAAATCATCTTTATGTTAAAATTGTTAAGGCCGGGCATGGTGGCTCATGCCTGTAATCCCAGCACTTTGGGAAGCTGAGGCGGGAGGGTCGCTGGAGTCCAGGAGTTTGAGACCATCCTAGGGCACCATAGTGAGACCCTGTCTCTACAAAAAATAAAAAAGATTAGCTAGGTGTGGTAGTGTGCACCTATAGCCAGCTGTGTGGGAAGATCGCTTGAGCCCAGGAATTGAAGGCTGCAGTGAGCTGTGACCATGCCATTGCACTGCAGCCTGGGTGACGGCAAGATCCCGTTTCTACCAAAAAAAAAAAATTTAATTGCAATGCAAATTTTTCAGTTATAGAAATCTTCCAAATGATCATAAATTGGTTCTTATTGTGGAGAAGATCATTAATGCAAAGTTCACACAATTAAATGTTTGTTTAAGATTGTTTCTACCAAGTTAAGTTTCACACCAAATCAAGTTATATTTAGCAATAGTACTTTCACATTTATAAGCCTTGGGCCATGTCCTAGAAAATATGAGTATCCCAGTCAAGCAGTTAGACTACACTCCAGCATTTTTTCTTGGCCTAAGTCACCATCTCTCTTGGGGAGACAATGGTCAGTGCTAGACCCTAAAGGGTGATCGTAGAATTTCTAATAGACACTCTGAACACATCATCTGTCAGTAGTCACATTGCCCCTTCTACAGGCCTCTTGCTCTTTTGATCCACCATGTCTTTTTGATAAAAGGTGAAAGTTAGGAACTGCAGGCCTCTTGCTCTTTTGATCCACCATGTCTTT